CAGTGTATGTAGGATCTACTTAACATAAACTACAGTGCCCATGTTCAATGTCACGAAGAAGCATGTTACTCAGTGGAGCAGTGGAGCTCATTTATGTATTTTTTTATAGATTTTGAAAAAGGTCTATAGCACAGAGGAATATGAAGCTTTGGCTACACAGTTCATTGTTTGTTTTGGTGTTATTATAAGATCTGTAAGATATTATAAGTTGAACATTTAAAAAAAATAAAATACAAGATTGATCTTTTAAGTCTATTGGCAGACTCTTGGTGGAGTCGTGTAATCCATCAGAACATGAAGTCCTTATGGATTATTTCATTGCAAAGTTCAACCACATTACTAAGAAACAACAATGTGACAGAAATGAATGCATACTTGATGTTCACTGTTTTGATAATACAGCTTAAGCAACTTTCAAGAGCCCATTGCAGTTAAACTAAATTGGAAATTAAGAAAAATCAATTGTTGCCTGGATTTGTGGAAAAGAAAGAAATCCCCCAAAATCTAGAACTGTACAGCATGCATGTAGTTAAGGAGCTTATACTTGAAAACATACTGCTTTGGTGCTTAAATGATGTAGATTTTGGAAAACTATCACAACTCAAGGACCAACCACTGGCTTTTCTGGTCTTTCAACCAAAGCAGATCACAGATTACATTTCCTATACATGACAACTGCTGATGAATATACAGTAAAATGCTCTGGAAAAAGCTAGTCGACCCCACAGAATTGGGTCTACTACTACTTTTTTTTCTGAGGTCAAGAATATACTTTAATGCTAACGATGCAAATCTTTAAAGAAACTACGTTTGCAAAGACTTCTTAGACATTCTTTGTTAAAGCAGTACTCTTTTTGCATTTTGGATTAAGAACTGTGCTCTATTCCAAGCACAGTTTGCCTAACATGCACATCGTGTAATGCCGAGTAACCGTGGCATGATGCAGAGTCAAAATGAGTTGTAATGGACAGATGGGGATGAGATGTTTGTGGCACAGTGGGACACAAAGAGGAACCAGTTGGGGTCATGACCTTTAGAGGACTGCACCAAGTTTTTGGTAAACTTAGCTAATCCGGTAAAAGTAATGAGAACCAGCCCCCCTTTAGAAATAAAAGCTAGGTTAACAAAACATCTGTAGACTTCCATAGAGCAGTTCATAAATACAATGGGCAGGGAAGGTAACAAAAAATGTAATAAAACAGAACGAGAGGGAAAATAGGGAGTGGAGCAGAGTTGATGAAGGAGTGGCTGCTGGAAGTGGGTCACAGCGCCACTGACGTGATACAAAGTGACGTGCTGAGCGGGGGGGACGCACTCGCGCCAATGTCTGCGTCACCTTTTGTCCTGCACACACGCATAACGCTACATCGGCTCAATTCATTTGGTAAACAACACTTGTGCGGAGGTCAAAAATAAAAATGCTTAGTAGTGCTCTGTAAGGACACGTTTCCCCTTCTCTCTCTGCATTGTTTACTGCTTGCACTTTTACTTTCCTGCTTCCCCGTGCCTCGCACTCACTTTATCAGCCTTAAAGATCGCATTCAGGTTATGCATAAATAATAGCGGCCTCTCCCCGGGTGCTTGTTGTGTACAAAACAGTGGCTGCAGAGCTCAGTTTTGCTGGGTCATTATTTTGCTATGCGATCCTTGTATGATCTGTAGCTTTTTTTCCTCCAGCCTCACGGAGGAGCAGTGTGGAGAAGCTGTAGGGATGGAAGGGATAAAAAGGGTGGAGGAGTTGCAAGGGGGGAGCTGAGGGAACAGTTTAATTGCCTGACCCCTCTCCTGCCAGGATAGCTGTCTGGAGCCGGGTGTTAAAGAGACGGTGACGTCTGGATTCTCCCTCCCGGCTCTGTGCATGCAAACAGTGTGTGTGTGTGTGTGTGTGTGTGTGTGTGTGTGTGTGGTGGCCTGGCATTGTGTGTGTGTTGTCCCGCGGATGTTCCCACGGCAGATCTTTAGGCATGACCTCTTAATCATGTCATGTGTGATGTTGAAGGGATGCGCTCTGAGATTTAACGTTACCACCCTATAATGTATCAAAGCCTTATAGAAGAAGGGAGAGATGGTGTATCGGTATGTGAGGACTCTTCTCCTCACAGTGGGATTTCTCTCTCGCCTCAGCTATACGTCAATATTTATTTTTGATCCCTTATCTTGATTTTTTTTTGTTTAATTCATCCTAAAAAGATCAAATATAAGCCAGACAGACTCGGGCGACTTTTGAGTTTATTGGATTACCAACGACGAGATCTCAATCTCTGAATAATCTAAATATACACACCACGGAGAAACAAAGAGATGAAAATGTATTTTCTATTCCTCCCCCCTCTCTCTCTGAGGCTTCTTCCTTTGTTGTTTGAGTGTGCTGGTGGTGAGTGAAGGCCGAGGAACCTTCATCCTAATCGGCTTGAGATCTGGCTGCAGGTCAGGCCAGCAGATGAATCCAGATTAGGGGGGGTCACAAGGCAGGAAGAGAGGATTAACACTACCAGCTCTGGCCGCTGCAGCCTGCTCCATTAGCTGACAGCACTGTCTGCCCTGCCTATAGAATCAAAGGGGCTGGACTTAGATAGGCTTGCTGGGGCTGCTCTCATTCAATCCAGTTTACAACCAGGTTTTAGGGAACCGATCCATTTTGTTCATGTGAAAATATGTTGTGCCCTTACAACTGCAAAGGTTAGTCGACTGAACAAGTTGCCAACAATTTTGATAGATGATTAAATGTTATTAAGTCAAGTATGTTCTTTTTGAATGCCAACATGGCAGAAAATTCCCTTTTCTGGCTCTCCTGGAGATTTCATGCTTTTTCTTTTTTTTATTATTAGAGTTTAGTAAATATCTTAAGGTCTCGACTAACAAAACAAGAAATCTAAAGACATCACATCAATGTTTTCAAAATGTTTTATGACATTTGTTAATATTTGAAGTCATCGTTAGTAACAGCCTGCCTTAGCCATCAAATTGCTTAATATCTGTAACCTACTCTAAAAGAGATACTGGTTTTCCATTAGTGCATCCCATGCGTTTAAAACTCGTTTAAAAATACATAATAGCAATTACAAGAAAACCAATTGAGCATATACTGTATATGGTTAATTCATCATCTTTATTTTTGTGCAAAAGCCTAACTATACTGTATATAGTTTCTCTAATCAATTACTCCTATTGTGGAAACTGGGTATCTAGCTTCACATCATTTAGGAATTCAGGGTCTTGCAGGAAGCTGACAATAACCTGCTATACTTAGTGTGGTTCAACATACCCCAAGTTCACCTATGTGTGAAACAAGGGTAAAGCTAATATCTGTGACTGTAAATCTTCAGAATCTAGACTGCACTGTCTGTATTTAACTATGTGTCTGCAGATTAGCGCCCCCTGGTTGCAAAGTGCAGATAAACCAGGTTACATTAATTACACAGACTAATCAGGGTGAGTTATATACAAACAAACTAAAGACAGAGTTGGTCACCAGTGCAACAAGCTGTGATTTAATGCATGTGTGTGCAGTATCCTAAAATGATGGCTTCTTATCTGGGACTTAACTCAACACAGCATATTCATCATCAACCTCCCCATTGTCTTTTTTCTATCTCCGCTGCCTGTCTCTCTGTACTTCCACTTAGCAAACTAAATAATGTGCGCAGTCCCGACGAGTTGCCTAGGTGCTCTACCTCGGCTTTGATCCTACTGTAAATTAAACATGCCTTTTTAGATAACAGGCTCTGTGCCACCTGCTGAGTCAAACTGCACCTCCGCACTTCATATACTTCCTGTCCCTGGTTTGAACTCGGCGCCGTTGATTCATGTTAACGCAGAGATAACAGCTGAGGGAATCTCTGCAGAGCAATTAGGGCCGCAGTTGCATTGGTTTTCAGGTCTATACAGTGCAGAGACAGTTTTGGAACAAATCTCAAATGTGGCATCGATGTGTGTTTCGCAATGAATGAGTGGAACAAGAGAATGTGTGCCAAGCTGGGAAATGGCCCCACTCCAGTAGGGGTCAAAAGCTAGGTCAAGCACTGCTAATCTGGGTGGGAACACTCAGTGCTTGACCCCTGACACCAATTTACGACCAGTTTTTATAGCACATGAGGGCCTTGTACAAGCTGCTATTATGATTGACAGATTAAAACTAGTTGAAGTTACCACTTTTTTAAAAGCGAAACCGTTCAAACGTATGGCTTAATGATTATTGTGCAGCATTTCTGTGTTTGGTACATTGTGTTGTTGACGTTGGTTGCTCAAAACATGCAACAACAACGATGTAAGACTTTTCTCTGGGAAAACATTTATCGGCATTTCTGACATTTAAGGCCAAAATAATGAATTATAGGAAATGACCAATTGAGTGATAATGAAAGTAGTTGGCTTCCCACCAGGATTATTATTCTGATAAGTGTTACCTTTATTTGCCATACTATGTTAGCTTATGACGTGCAAAAAACGATTGACTTTCATCATTAGCTAAAGCTGCGCTGCTAAACGTCAGAATGCTAGCACATGTTGCATGCTAATGCTAGCATTTTATCTCAAGGCACTGAATACCATCAGTGTACCAGACTAAATACAATTTGTCTGGTTATTTGTTTTGTCGTCACGTTTTTAAGTTAAAATGGTCTACTCTAATAGTCCCCCCTATTCACCTCTTATGATACTTAGACTAGACACGTTGTCAAGTATTCTAATTCATAACCAACAGTTTGCACAACAAACTGCATAATAAGACATGCGTGTTGTTTTTTTCGGTTGCAAAATCATTATTTCAGTTACTGAAGTTTCAAATAAAAAGATCACTGTTGAATAACAAGACAAGATATTGCACATATTTCAATGTAATACTTTAAACCCTCATGTTTTATTGGGTCTCTCAAAGTGCACAGCAGCTCTATGTGGTCCTTTTGCTCCAGTGGTCGTGTCGGCCAGTTTTTCTTTTGAGGTCTTTGAAATGCTAATCGCTTATCCTCCCCTCTTTTTTTTCTTCTCCTTCTGTGCTTTAGATTCCTCCACCAACTACATCAGGCAGCTGGAGTCTAAAGTGCGGATCCTGGAGGACGATAACACTAAGCTTCTCTCACAGGTAAAGAACAAATATAAAATGCTATGGCATATCAGCCCACACCATTACTTGTTGATCTTCTAACCCTCACTGAACACCACTTGTTCAACTCTCCGACTCAACCCAAAACATGTGATAGGCAGCTGTGATAAGATAGAGTGGTTGCATGATACCTCCTTGAAGTCTCCTCCTCACAACAGCCTGCCTGTTAGTCGTAGAATATGTTTACCATGTTTAATTCATGGGGAGTCGGTCGCTAGCAGTGATGTTAGCCCCGGAGGCGAACTGTGGGAGCGCAGCAGAGATGAGAGGAGGGGGAAAAGGAGTGGAAAGAAGCATTGAGTGACAGCGACAGAGTAAAGCATCTCTCCCAAAGTTGACCTTGCTCTGACTTCTCCCAAATGTGAAACATGGAGGGCTGAGTGAGTGGAGGTGGGAGTGTTCACAGACGGTGAAAGGTATAACTGAGTCATATTAAATGGTCATATTTGGGGGGGTACATTTGTCAAACATGGCTCATTAATTGGTAAAACATCTATTAATAAAAATGTTCATTGGTTATCTTTCTGTTCATTTGATTGCAAGCTGGAATTTCAAAGTTTGAATCAAAGCCTTTATTTAAAAAAGAAAAGAAGAAGTGATTTCTCTCACCCCAATTATCTCCCAGTAGATTTTGATGTAGGCAGAGAGTGTAGGCTGGAGTCACGGATACCAAATGATCCCTTATAATTAGCCCTTAAGTGCTACAATTTGTGCTACACATTGTCCCACAGCATTATACAGTATAATTTGACCCTGCTTCTTAAAGTCGACTAATGGTCCTTGTTCAAAGTTGAACTGATGAACGGTTTATTTTGTGTCTAGAACTTAATATAGATTAGAATGTAATAGAATCTAATTTTAATCAAATTCAGTTGTTACAAGTACATTATGAGAATGTGGAGTCACCATGACACGACTGAACTTTACCATTAGTCAGAATACTCCATACTTCCATAAAGTCTTGTAAGTTCTTTTTTTTACAGTATTCTTGGAGCTTCAGAATAATATTCTTACCTTCAATAACAGCTCCCGAAATACAGTTATCAAATAATGAACATATTATACACTGTTATGTTTTTTTCTCCCTATAGGCCTATAGCCGGTATAGTTTATCACAGATACAGACAAAAAAGGTAACATTTTGAAATGTTTTTTGGCTCCTTTGCTGGTTGAGCCTTTTCAGTCTTTTATCTGTTTGGTGGAGGGACTTTCACAGCTTTGAGCTTGCTGCTTTGTCATTTACAGAGGGTGGACCCAAAAAAAAGTAACACCTGTACAATGTAATGCATTAAGCAGCCAAAACATTGAGTTTCTGTTGACACTGTCACACGAATGATGAATCAACTCTATGGTATAATTTGGAGGAGGGTATTGATACCATTCTTATGTCTGTACTGAGTGTGAGTACGTTGCTAAAGCCAGTCAGCTTAGCTTAGTTTAGCTTAGCTTAAAGACTGGAAACGGGGAAAACAGCTAGATTTGTTATGCCCAAAAGTGACAAAAATCGCTTACCAACACCTCTAAAGATCAGCAATCAACACTTTATATATTGTTTTTATATATATATATATAACAATATATTGTAAGGACAAAAACCAAAGTGTAAAACTAATGTTTTTTTTCTTACCGGTTATCACTGTATACTAGCTAACGTGTATCCTGCACACAAGTAAAACAAGTTTTAGCAATTTTGTGTAAGATTTAAGAAAAGAGAAATAACATTAGTTAATCAGTTTATGAGATTTAGAATTGCCAATAGACTGAGTGTTGTACCATCGTCTTTATGCTATTCTACCTATGCTAAGCTACATGGCTGCTGCGGTACCTACATATTTATTTTTGAAATTAGAGGGGTGGAATTTTTTTTCTCATCCAATTTCAATCAAGTGACTTGGTGTTAGACATAAGATTACATCATATTTTGTCCGATAAAATATAATCCAATACAACAAAGTGAAGCCCTAAACAAACCATGGAACTGATTTGCCCTTGTGATACAAAGTCAGCGTTTAAGGCCTAGAAAAACCTTTTTGCATTACCTTGTCCAGGTGTTACTTCTGTGTCCAATCCCTGCTATGCTAACGAATGAGCACAGGAGGCCCTGCTTGAATGTGTTCTATCTTTCAGGGTGCGTACGGGTGCTGGAAATCCTTGAAAATGCTTGAAATTGTACGAGGTGTTTTCAAGGTTTGAAAAGTGCTTGAATTTTGGGAATGATGCTTGAATTTGGGATAAAGTGCTTGAAATTGTAAATGCTTTACTTCGCTTTTTAGATTAAAAGAAAATAAAGAAGTCGGAGCGCGCTTAATTGCTTCGCTTTTACATAAAACAGCTCCGCTCCGGCCTTCCCGCGCAATGCGCGTGACCGGCAAGTGTTTTTGTTACGTGTGTGACCTGGGCATTCTGATGAGTGATAGATGACAGTTTGCCAGGAGGTTGCCGTTTCAACGAGCGTTGGCTAGCAGAAGACAAATACAAGCCATGGCTAAGACGAGGGTCAAGCGAAGCCCAAGAGTAGCCTCCTGCAAAGTGTGCAACAATAACGATGCGAGAGTCTGCGCTGACGAGCCACACACCACACGAAAGGTACGCCAGAGTAGAGCATTTTAGATTAGGCTATCGTTGCATGTAAAATACATGACACTTTTCTCTGTGCGTGGCAAAACAAGCTCGCCAAAATGGCTTCACTAGTCTGGCAGTATTTTAAGTGTCCGAAAATGACAATAAAATAGCGGTATGCAACGTGTGTGTGAAGCAGAAATCCTGCAGCTCCACCCGCTGTGACGGACCGGTGAGCGGAGCAGAACACACATTAAGAGTTAGACCTAACACACTTAGCTATTTTATCTACCTCTGGAACAAGCTAAACTAGTTATAAATATATTTATTCTTCACTGTCGGGTCGCTCATTACTGGATCAGTGAGCTGCAGGAGATACTGACGGGCTGTCAGGAGAGAGAGAGAGGGGGAGAGAGGAAAAGAGAGCGATATCGGTATCGGCCGATACTGATTCCGGCGATCGGCTCCAAAATTGGCGATCGGAGCATCCCTAATAATTGTATATGATATGTTTTATAATGATTGATCATGAAAGTGTTATCAAAGCTGGTAAAGTTGCAGCTAGTTTGAATGACTTTGTATACTACAGAGTAGCTTGTGAATTTACTCCAGGTGGAACTAAAGTCTGATTTAACAATTGATTATATTTCACATCATTCATCCACATCTGTAAAGTAACTAAAGGTATTCAATACATGTAGTGGAGTCAAAGTACACCATTTACCTCTGACTTGTGTTTACTGCCAACCTAAAAGTACCTCAAAAATAGTAATCAATACTATATTGAAAAGTTATTTGGCTGATTGTTTTATATTGGCTCAGCCAGGTTATATGGGATGCCCAGTCTACGTACAGATGGGTCACTCATTTTGAAATATTAAACTTAGTTTTCTTTTCTAACATTTTTAATTTTTCATCCTCATGTAGAATGCTATTATGAAACACACATTTGGTTGTTTATAGCATAAAGAACATCTGATTTAATGTGAGGTAGGGAAATAATCATTTGAGTATAAGTATGTGTATATAAATATGTAATTTACAACAGCTGTAAGATGCTTGAAAAGCTTGAAAATGCACCTTGAAAATGCTTGAAAAGTGCTTGAATTTGACTTTGGAAAAGGTGTAAGAACCCTGATCTTTGCAAGAAAGTGGTTTCCTGTCCTTGGAGCTGTTTTGCACAATGTTAGATACGAGGTACCTGAGGTGAATGGATGCTACAATGTGTCTTGGTGCATAAATGACACACTCTTGTACTCACAGCTTGTCGGGACGTCTGGTGGGCTGAATAATTTAAGACACGGGGGGCCAACTCAGGTAGATCCAGGTATCCATAATGCATGGCTGACAACTGGTGTGTGAGTGCAACTGTATAATGATGAAATGTCTGCAGGTTAACACAATACCTTGATGGGGGCTTGATTAATAAACCGTGGCTTCTAATAAACAGTAACACTGGTAATGAAAACACAAGTGTACTCCAGTGGGTAATGGAGGCAACAGAGCATCCTGAGTAATTTGGCTCTTATGCTTTAATCTACTTAATAATGTGTGTGTGAATGCTAGCAGGTGGAATACAAGGAATTAGTCGCCTCAGTGGATATATTGCCTAACTTCCTGTGTTATGAAACTGGCCGAGTGAAACTTGCTCAGCCTGAAGGAAACAATAGCCTCTTATCGCTGGAATGTTGACCCTCCAAACCAGCTTGACTGAAGGATTTGACTCTAGTAAAAAGAGAGGGGAGGGAGTTAACCTGTTAAGCCCCAAAGCCCCCGTCGGCGGGTCTTTTTTTTTTTCTGAAATAATAATTAATTTTTTTAATTTATTTATTTTTTCTTTGGATGGAATGAATACCTATGGTGATAATTCAATGTAATACATCATTTTTATAGTCTGGTACCTGAAAAAGGTTAAATGGCACTGATGGAACCAGATGTACCCAAATGTGCCGAAAGCTTATTCCGCCTGGAACTTGTTTTTGCTAAACCTCTCTTAAAAAGGTCAAATTTAATTTGTTTTGCCTCAATCTTGATACAGGGTACTTATTATATGTTATAGTTTGGATTCCTAAAGCTTTTAGTCTACCATCCCATCATTCAAGGGTGGTTTTCACTATAAGTAATGGGTTTTCTTTAGGCGGAGGTAAGAATTTACCTTTTTTTACTATGTTCCATCTGAATTTACTCTGACTGAGAAAAATCTATATTGATTCTGACACTACTACATCCAACTCACAGATGTAACCTTGCTTTGATAAAAGAAATTATTCATATAACCCTTTTAGAAGTGAAGTTGTAGTCATTTGTTTTGGGCATGTCATTTTCGAGCCTGAAACCTGAAAAACAGGCTCGGGGCTTAACAGGTCAACATGTCTCACGGTGAAAATTACCAAGTGCTTGCATAGCACAGGTGAAAACAATGTGAGAAAAACAGGTGTGTTCGACGGTCATACTCAAACATGATCAGGCGCATTCAAGTACGCTATTTGTTCTTTTCTCCCCTTCGGATTTCCCATGTCTTTCATCCGTTACTTATCTGCATTAGCTCACTGAAGGGTGAGGCACTCTGTGGCTCTCCCTACATGCTCACTTCCCCCTTATCATTAACATGTAAATGCCCGGTGTGATTCTTACAATTGAATGATTCAGATGACACTGCATCCTTTGAATGAAGGCTGATTGAACTCACTTTGTGAGCGTGTGCTGCAGTCAGGTCCGATTTGAATGAAGACGGAAGGGAAAGTAAGATGGATTGGAACGGGGTATACTTTGCTACAACATTGAGCTTTCCCTTCTCACAAGTCACCCAATGTGGTTCACAATCTTGCACTTTAATTTTTGATACCTCAACTCCACTAAAGATACTTTTATTTTGCCCATTTAAATAAGCATAACATTGGTGATGGCTTGTGCCACCCACCCAACGCGTCTATAACCTTGTGACATTACAGAGACTCTATCTATATTTTATACTCTCCATTATTTATAGTGTTCTTCACTACAGTGTCATGTATGCTTTAGGGCAGGGGTTCCCAACCTTTATTGTGCCAAGGACCGGCAGATACATTAAAAAAAAATCGCGGACCGGTTGTCAATTTTAACTGATTTTAATATTTACTCACCACCAGCAGGTAGCAACAGAGGCTAATTGTATGTAACAGCCTGAACAAATACTAGAACAATATGCATCCAAAACATATTAACAAAGTTTAAAAAAGAACCGGTGTTGTTTTTTGGTTTTTCGGAAAACCAAAAAACCGACGTTATTCAGTTTTTAAACCAAAACGGGAAAACAGATAAATCAACGTTTTGGTTTTGTTTGTATGATTTACGGATAATCCAGTGAATGCTGGGAAAACGAGGAGCAGGCGCATTATGAAGGAGATGTCCGGTCGCCTGTGTGTGTGTGTGTGTGTGTGTGTGTGTGTGTGTGTGTGTGTGTGTGTGTGTGTGTGTGTGTGTGTGTGTGTGTGTGTGTGTGTGTGTGTGTGTTGTGTGTGTGTGTGTGTGTGTGTGTGTGTGTGTGTGTGTGTGTGTGTGTGTGTGTGTGTGTGTGTGTGTGTGTGTGTGTGTGTGTGTGTGTGTGTGTGTGTGTGTGTGTGTGTGTGTGTGTGTGTGTGTGTGTGTGTGTGTGTGTGTGTGTGTGTGTGTGTGTGTGTGTGTGTGTGTGTGTGTGTGTGTGTGTGTGTGTGTGTGTGTGTGTGTGTGTGTGTGTGTGTGTGTGTGTGTGTGTGTGTGTGTGTGTGTGTGTGTGTGTGTGTGTGTGTGTGTGTGTGTGTGTGTGTGTGTGTGTGTGTGTGTGTGTGTGTGTGTGTGTGTGTGTGTGTGTGTGTGTGTCCCTGGCATTTGTTTTCAGAAGATATTATGATAGTGTCGTTCGTTCCGGTGCACTCCCGACAGCATAGCACTACATCGAGATTAAGATTAAACTAATTTATTTTGGGAACAGCCGCATATGCCGGTGTCGGACAGACACAAACACACCGAACACACAGAGCTGAGCTGAGCAGAGCACATACACACACACATCATGCGCCTTGGTGACTGACTGGACATATCCTTCATAAAACTAATAAAAGGGGGAGTAATCGGGCAGTTCGATGTGTGTAGATGTGTGTGTGGTTAACACGTAGCAGCCTGCAGTCACTCTTAAACTGTTCTGATTAAGTTAAACACAGCGAAGGCGGTGCGTAAAAAGGCACAGCTCTTTACCGAGTATACGTCCCGCTGCCTCCTGATGCTTCAGCCATTTCATGAAGTGAAGGAGGGTTTCCTTCTATAAAACAGCTGCGGGCAGCAGATACCGTATTACCGTGAGAGTCCCGGACATTAATTCATAGATCAAGGCAGACTGGTTTACTCTCCTGTTTTGCCAATCCGGTGCTTAAAACAAATAGCTCTACACTCCTGGCCGACATGTCCTTAAAATGAAGTCCGAGTTTGAAATATATCTCAAATAATGTATGCACCACCATTTCCCCACATAAACATAACAGTCTGCAATCAAACGGTTGTCTCCTGTGCGCTCCTCTTCCTACTTGGCGCACCGGTAACATGCTCGTGCGCACAAGAGGCTGAGACCTTAGGCTGAGCCGCCGAATCCCTCGGAACATCATAAAAGCCATTTTCAACGGTTTTCTGGTGAAAGATTAACTAGCTACTGGATGAAATAATATGACTGGTGGCATAGGTGCGAAAATTAAACACTTTTTGAAAAAGATATTATGATAAAATATTTTTATATATTTATAATTCTGCAAATATTACGATAAACTCACAGCTATTTCGCGGCCCGGCAGTAACACCTCCGCGGCCCGGTACCGGTCCGCGGACCGGGGGTTGGGAACCCCTGCTTTAGGGCATGGCTTACCTGTAATTGAAAGGTCTCTTAAAGGCAACCAGGAAAGAGGCAAAGCAAACGCTAACCCTTGCTGACTCCCACCCCTCGTCCAAATATGGTCACTTCTGGATCCAAAAAAACAAGATGGCGACGGATGAAATGACAAGATAGAGGCTTTAAAACATCATGATAGCAAAGTCTTTTATACAATCCATGGGCCACTTGCATTATGTTTCGGTAAAAGCTAAAGCCTTAGCCTCAGGTAAAAGTTAGAACCCTAACCCCACCAATTTAAGACACACATAAACAAAGAAACACATTTCAGTTGCATGCTGTGTAGATCTAGCTAGTCCTAGTAAGATGAAAAAAAATGTAAGGTCAAGATCACAGGCCACTCTGATTAATCGGATTCTGTATTCCGATAAATTATGGAGTGCTGCCATCCTCTCTACCCTTTTGTCAAGGCGGCATCACCCCTGCCCCTCATAACTCAGGGAGGAAACGATGCGTGGCGTCCACAGCTTCTCCCTGTCACTTCCAAGAACATTGTGATGGATGTATAAACTGAGGAGCAAGCCAAGAAGACTGCAGAGGGCCAACGGTCCCCAGCTGTCTGGCAAACAAATAGCTTTGTCGGTCTCAGCGGTCAAGGTCAACTCAGGAAAGGTCGTAAAGACGGAAACTGTAATGTTTTTCAGATGCTGGAAACCGTGTCGGAGGAATATTTCCGACCGTACTAAGACTCCTTACTGCGTTGACATATGTTTTCATTTCATGGATTGTGTGTTTATGTCACGCCTCCAGATGTGACATTTAGGGCCTCAGCTTGCTGATGGACACAAAGCCTGGAGAAATGATAAAAGGATGTTCGTAAAGGTACAGAATTGAGGGCATGAATATGGAAACCCGGAGGATAGATCAAGAATTGCCATGGGAAGGATTGTGAAAGGTTAGAGAAACACTAGCGGGATTCAGCGAGGAGGGGGAATATCAAAGAGAGAGAAGACGAGGGGAATGCTGATTGTATCTTTGTGTGTGTGCAAACCGTGTGTGTGACTCTGTACCTGTGTGTTTGTGATAGAGAAAGAGATAACACAGAGGCAGACAACACTAGTGTGTGGCATGAAAAATGTCATGAGGAACAGTGGTGGTGCCATGTTCCTGCATCTGTAGGCAGGATACCACCTTCAGGAACCAATGGTCTTTGGCTGCTAATGGAAAAAAACAGAGGAACTGTGTCCCTGCATAATGTCTCTCGATGACGGCACAACGTTATGTAGCCCAGCACAAGGAATGGCCATTTTTGGAGCAAGCCTCAACAATTTCAAAATCAGCTTTGCAAAGGAAGTACGTGGATACAGCGTCACATCGACAATGAGTGCCGGTGTCAGTGTAGGAGGGGTAGGAGGTGGAAGAACCTATGGATCCTTAATAAATCATCGCCAAGGCTCTCAATATAGTAGAGCCTGAGCCACATGTATAAATATATATATATATATATATATTGTGATGTTGAGGGTTATCAAAGATACATTGGCTGTATATGTTTTAGGGCTGGATATTGGCACGGATTGCATTGAAAGTACACCAACTGTCCAGATTGATTCGTATCTGTTTAGTAAAAAACAAATGGCAATGTATTGCATCAAGAATTTGTCCTCAGCAATTATTCTCCATCACAAGTGAGCTACAGTGTTTTCTGCCATTGTTGAATTGAAAAAGTAGTGCATTCAAGGACTTTCTGTAGCAAAACCGCAAAAATGTGGCTTATCTATGCATTTTTGGGCTTACGTGAGCAAAACCGGTTGAGCCGGAATAATAACAGACCTGCAACACTTGCAATGGACTGTCAATGCCAGATGCTTGAACTAAGTACAGGGCACCCACATCGCTTAGAGCACACTAATTAATCTGCACTGTATGTGTTGACAGGACATCAGCGTTGATATGTTAAAGACAGCTGGCTAGCTAGCGTTAGCTACCGGGCAGGGACTGACTAAATAAAATAGAATCTGCAATCGGTCCATGGCTTGAAATCTCGTAGATGGAGTCTCTCGTCAACTAACAAAAACCAAGGGCAGTGACAAGGTTATTTTTTAAATGAGATGCTCAATACATAACTCGATCATATCCGTCAATCTGGATCGATATATATATATATATATTGATGCAATGATCGATGATTCCAATAATATCGATGTAAATGGGAAAACATGGGTGCTTACCAGCTGTTTAAAAGTATAACAATCTTTTTTTTAAAGAAGAGTTAGTTCGTTTTTTTGTTAAATGTCTGGAAGAGCCCAATAATATTATTTTCAAATCATGTCATGCTTCTTTGAGAGTTGATATTAATGTAAAGAATTGTGTTAAAAAACGCTTATGATAGTTTGTTTCAAATCAATCACAGGCCCCTGAAACAAATTGAGTCTTAATTACATTTTGGAAGATTGTGATTTCGGGAAATATAGTATATCTTTGTCCAAAGTAGATACTATATGCATTGTATTGCTGATGTTATCCCATTTGGATTTTATTTTCGGTTTTGGATTACATTTTTTGCTGTGAAGCTAAATAATTTTGAGATGACATGGCACTGAACCTTTATATCTCTGTTTTTGTTGTGTGTTTGTTTTTTGCTCAGCAGTGCAACCCAGGTGACCTTCGTGCCCTGAGGAAGGGAATGACCCTCTACCACTCAGAGTCCCAGCTATCCTCACTGCCTCAACGCCAGGATGCCATGCACATGGTCAGTACCCAGAAGGCCAACTCGCACACACACACTCACACACACATACTCGCAAATATACGCGAGTATTCACATTGACTCACATAGAGAGACACCAATTCATAACATTTAAACAGTCATAGCCAAAGCCCAACATTGCTCATACAAAACTTTGTTAAGTACAAAGATGGGGTTTAATGCATACACACACACACACACACACACCTAATTGTAGGGTGCCTCCACAGTGGAATAAAGTAAAGTCAGCTCTAATCCACTTTACTTTTAACTCCAATTATACCTCCGCAGGCGACCTCACGCTCTCTTACACATGACAGGAAGTGAAGCGCACACATACACAGGAAGAAAAAGAGTGGAGTGTAAGGAGGTAGGGAGTGAGGGGGAGGTTACAGAGAAGAAGGAGGGAGACTAAGACAGCGAGATAATAACAGAAAATAAAGAGGAGTCAGCCTTCTCTTGTCTTCCTCTCATATCCTGTCCCCTTCCTCCTCCCCCGGGGTCTGTTTGAACTGAATCCCACTATGAAAGTAATAATCCTCCACAATCCAGTGCCACCCCTGACCCAGCCAGTGTCTGGGGAGGAGAGGCTGGGTAATTGTTTTCTGACTGCTTAGGGGAGGTCAGAGCCAGGCTACGCCACTAACCAGAGGACTAAATCTTTGCGTGTAAAAATCAATATTGTGTTTTAATCACAGGCCCAGTGTGAGGTCACAGGCTGAGTGCGTTGGCACCTTTTTAAGCTTGTGGATCAAAACTGCCTCTTCACGGAGGTTCACTAATGTCCATGAAACCGTGACCCTGCGAGAGGTCTCTCCCTGCAGGGCGATGGATTTAAACTGCACATTATCTTGATGGTTGTCTCCCCGCATTTTCACAGTGTGGAAGACATACAAGGTCATGATATTGACTCGAGGTGTGAATTTTTGGTCCTTGCTGACATGACATTGAATGCCGCTCTGGAACCAGTTTTTCTTGCTGTTGAAACAAGCTGAACTAGCTCGACAGAGCTGACGTCAGCTGCTAACACATGTCCAGTTTAGAATTGGAGGTCAAATATAAATATAGGAAACTTGAAATTCAGTTTAATGGTATAAACTAGCGAGATTTAAAACTATATTTCACAAAATAGATTATATACCTCCAAGTACGGAACATAATGCTATCTTCAAACTAAATGACAAAAGGTCTGTGATTTGGCTATTTTTCCCGCTAACTTTAGGCCGCCTGAGTTTTCTAACTCTTGGAAAAGCATTTGTCTCCGTATTCATAAACAAATTCAAATGTCATATTTACATCGACAAAATCTTAACAGCAAGTATTTTAGATGAGAATATTGATACATATAATAAATAAAGGTAAATATAAACCTTCAGCCAGCGGTTAGCTTAACTTAGCTTAGCTAGCTGCAAATGTGTCAAAATTGATCTGAAAGCTCCTTTATATCTTACTTACTGCTACTACTACATATGTAAGTACAAAGCCAAAGTACACAAGATTACAAATAGGTTTTTTTGGGGGGGGGGGGGGGGGGGGGGGGGGGATAAATGCAGGACTATTTATTAGCGTTGCCACGAGGTTGCTGGCACAGCAAGCACAGAATAAGATACTGTTGTTGCTAATGAGACAACTTACACTTGCGATTCGTGCGGTTCTTGTCCCCTCCTCATGATGTCTTTCTTGTCGTGACATTTCCGCAGAGACACACTAATGTTGAGTTGTATGGTAATCGATAGCCTGCTCTCTAATGCAGCCCCAATTTCATCTTTGTGTGAGAGAAGGCCCTTGTTGGGAGATGGAGATGGAGAGGGAGAGAAATAGGAGATGAGAGTTGTGGGAGACTGAAACGGCAGAACTTCAGTGAGCTGGACTCGTCGTTGTGTGTACCCTTCCTAATCTATCAGCTCATACTTTCGATGTAGTCCTTTGTCTCACTCAGGTCAGTGATTGTGCGTGACGGTGTCAGATAGAAAGAAAAGAAGAGGAGAAAAGATGGATAGAGAAAGGAAGCGGGCAGCATGCGTGATTCTCACAAACACTCAGCAGTCGGCTCTGATTCTCAATTCTCCAACCACAAACCATCGATTCTGACAGCGTTTGTTTTCCCTGCTCATCATGCAAGGCCTAAATCAGGCCTGTTTATGCAACCGAGCCATCCCCGACTGTACATCCATATGAACAGTAAACATGGCCCGGAGCTGGCTGTGTCTCCGCGCTGTCCAAATCTGTTTCCCTGCTGAGCTCCAGCACGAAATAAACAACAAAAAAACCTGGCTCCGATTGCCGCCAGGAAGTGTTTACACATTTCAAATAATAGCCACAGTAGAGAGCATCAAAAGAAGGCGACAGTGATGATTTACATATTTTTTTTGCTTGACTTCAAAGTCCAGTGGAAAATGAGCAGTATGGAAAATTAAGCTGTCACTTTGTTGCTGTGACCTTTAACAAGAAGTAACTCATTTCATTCAGAGGGAGATGTTTGTTTTAAATGTACTCATAAATGTGGACTTAACCTTGATTACACATTGACAGTTTAATTGTGAGGATGGGCACATACTGTATAACTCCATATTTCTCAAGGAACTTGCCAGTGGTTTTTTCATGTTTTATCCTGCAGACCGTTTTTCCATCTAAGATTTTTGGTTAATGTTCACCTGTCAGTCAGCCACTTCTTTTGAAACTCAAGAATACAAAAAACAAGTTAATGTTTACGTTTTTTTCTTCTGCATAATGATGCACTTGCAATTGGGATCAAACCATGAGATATTTATGTAACACCAGTAGTGAAAAACATACTATAATACTTGTATTACAGTACTGTTTATAAAAGCAGTTATACCACACTGTAAAACTATTTTTTTTCAAATGAAAGTCCTGCATTCAAAATCTGACAGCAAATGCACTTTTAACAGTATAAATGATGCAGCAGCCCTACATATCCCCTGTCAATGTTAAATTGGATAAATGAAAATATGTTAAAAATGTCCTATTATTACTGATGGATGTTGTAGCTTGTAAAATATTAACAATTTAATATACAGTAATGCAGTTTAATATATAATTGCATCATATTGAAAAATGTAATATTTATGAAGTGATTTAATCATATCTGAAAACCAGAGCCCAGTCTGCTCTGATTGGCTAGCTTGCCGGCTCTGTTGTGATTGGTCAACCTCTGAGAGATGTCCCGCCCCTTAGCCAATCACTTGCAATGTGTTGGAGTACCAGCCAATAGAAGTGCGAGTGTTGCATAGTGATGTCACTATATTGCTGAAGTAAACAAAGGAGTCCAATGGAGGCGTTTCAGCCAGGGGGGGGGGGGAAGAGTGTGGGAGAGAAACTCCCTCTGTAGGAAAACTTTGGGATTTTAGCCTTTGCAGACCATTTACATGCACACAAATCTATATAACACACTACAGGAAATAGATAATAGGGCCTCTTTAATATATCAAAGAGAAATGTAATTAGACATAGGTTGCACGTATTTTGAAAACTCTTTCTGTGGTGCAGAAGCTTTTGAGCCTGCTGCAGAACGGCAACATTTTTAATACAAAGAACAACAAATTCATATTAACCTTTTTATTTTGTCCATGATTTTGAAATCAAAGCTCATGAATGCAATACCTTATGGCAGGCGACTCTCATCTCCATATTATTAGGGCATGTTTGACTTTTCTTTTTGACCTAAAAACAAAAGAGCAGCACCACAGCTTTTTTCCTCACAGTTCAAGCATATTGATTCCCCAGCTGAAGAAAAAATGTCATCAAACAGTTGCTCTCATAACCTGTGAGAGCAACAAAACAACTTCTCTTTTGTGATTGTTGTGATAGGAATAGACTGTTGGGAAGTTTCCACCAAACATCCCTTTTGGCCTCAGTGGGATTATTATTTTATCTCTGTGCCTTTCGGTTGTGTGGGCTCATTCTGGCACCTAAAAAGGGGACAGCGGGTGCGGAGGGATCTGACAAACGCATCAGCAGCGAGCAGAGAACTGAACCCTGGCTAACAGAGCCACAGAGCTGTGTCTAATGCAGGGCCCCGATGCCAGGTTACAGTGAATAGTGCCATTGTGTGTCCCGGAGATCTCTGTGTCCCTCTAACAGAGAGCCACTGTCTGGAACTAACCGGGGGGTTGGGATGAGTGGAGCGGCCCCCGGGTCCTCTTGCCTGGCTGGCTGCTCCCATCACAGCGGGTTAACATCACACTGTGCAGGTAGCAGACCTGGCTGCGAGTCGATGCGTAGTGAAAGGGAAGATAAACACAAGGGGAGGGCAGGTGATATGAACTGGGATGAAAGGGATGGCATTTCCACTGCTACATTACAAGAAATCCCTCGTGGTAAATCAGAACCAAACACCCACTGAGAAGGAGAGAGGGGTTTATTTTCTGTTTTTGAGCTTCACAAATAAAGTGGTGCTCAATTTTGGGACTATACAGGAGTTGGACCTGTCCACCAGAAGTTCTTGCTTAAAGGTCCCATGTCATGCTTTTCTGGTTATTACCCGTCCCCTTGTGTGTTATGAAGGCTTGTATGCATGTAAACGGTCTGCAAAGTCACAAACCCTCAAAGTACACCCTGTAGCGAGTAAAACTCTTAACACAGAAAAGACCTGTCTATGCTGCCCCAGAACGCCTCGTTGGAGATTTTTCTTTTTCCATTTTTTTCTTCCTGGGTATGGTGAAACTGTGGCGCGCTTACACTGTAGGTGCGCCGCGTTTGGGGGTGCGGGTGCTAGTGGAGCCTCGCAGATGGGGGTGCTGCAGCCCCCTCAGTAACAATATAAATCTATTCTAGTATACCTCAACAATGGAATTATGATCAGTAGAAATGGCCATGACATGGGACCTTTAAATCTTTGTCACCTCTTATTGCTGTGCACTGAAAGAAATGAAAAACAACCCTAATTTTCCTCCTCCCTCTTCTCCCCCCCAGGGTACCGGGCGTCTCCCCACCAGTGAGTCCTCTCCCGCCACAGGTTACCTGTCCTGCGCCCAGAAGCCTGAAGCAGTGGTCCATGCCATGAAGGTACATACATAACATTTTAGGGTGATTGTTGCTAGGATTTTTCACCATCACCATCCCACTAGTCGAAAGCCCTGTTCCATGTTGATTTCAGCCCCACTTATTGCTGTGTACTATCATTTTGTTTATTGGAAAATGAACACTTTTACATCCCATGCTACATTGACTAAAATGTAGCTTTTTTGCTTATCTCCTTAGTGAAAGAAGACATGTTTACTTTCACACAACTCATTCAGTATCAGCTTTGTCTCAATTATCTAAACTGACCTAATTCTATAATTTTAGGTCACACGGGGTTAGTGAGCAATTGACGTACAAGTTATAATTTCAGGGGTTAAGTGTCATAGTATTATTGAAAAAAACGAATGTTACACATAAACAGCATCCAAGGAATACAAGTCCGGGAATCTCGGAATTCTGATGTTTTGATTGTCACATGACTAATCTGTCATTTCTCCCCCAGGTGCTGGAGGTCCACGAGAACTTGGACAAGCAGGTCCCCGAGGACTACGAGGACGACCTCAGTGAGAAAGAGAAGGCCATTGTGCGAGAGATGTGCAACGTAAGTGCAACACTTCACAATGTTCCAGTTCTTTCTGCGCCTCTGTCCCTCAGTCACACAGTTCTCCTAGTGCTGGGTGCAAATCAGGTCAGGTTTTGAGCTGCTTTCACTAATGAGGGAGCCTCGTGTGGACTCATTTGGTTTGGAATGACATGCAGCAGTGTCCCGGGCACTCTTGCTTTTCTTTCCTTCTATCTATCTCTCCATCTCCCCCCCCCCCCCCCCCCCCCCCCCCCCCCCTCTCCATCACCCCTGCTCCGAAGCCAACTCTTAACTGGAAGCCGTGAGTAAAGGCACGTCGTTGAGCTGTCAGAGCAATTAAACTGGAGCGGCGGGGGGAAAAAAGAACTCCCCCCTCCATTCTTCCTCTCTTCCCCCCCTTCATCTCCCTCCATCTTTCTCTATGGGTGCTGAAAGGCCCGACCCGGGATAAAAAAGGTCCGCTGATTAGAGAGAAAAAAGGCTATCTGGACCCTGCAGAGGTATGTGACAGGCCAGGAATCTGGGGAGCATTACAATAGTACCTCTGTAATATCACTAGGGTCCCCCGGGGGGCCCCCACTCACTGGCAGAGAAATCTCACAGAGATAGAGGACAGAGATACTGAAATATGTGTGTGTGTGCAGCTCAAAGTCAAACTGCGAGCATTTGAAGAGTTCACTCTAGAGAAAGACAGTCCTTTCCTAGCCTTACTCTTTCAGTGTGTTTCTCCCACTCTTCCTCTCTCAACGTCTCCCTCCTCTTCGTGTTGCAGGTGGTGTGGAGAAAGCTGGGTGATGCAGCAGGATCAAAGCTGTCCATCAGACAGCACCTCTCTGGGAACCAGTTCAAAGGGCCGCTGTAGCATGGCAACAGAAAGAGAATGAGAGAGAGATTTACAGTACTCACCTGAAAACACCTGCGCCTACACAACCCATCATGCCATGCTCCCCTACTGCCTACAGAACCCAGCATTCCTCCGACAGACGCTCTCTATTGACTGGCTCAGATAGCTACCTGTTAGCTTGTTATCCACATGCACAACTGTCTTTATCTCAGAGCTTATGAAGCGTCTGCAGCTAGTTTCACCGATTCTCTTCGTTGATTTGAAGGCCACACAACGATCTCTCTCTGTAAAAGCCATCAACACAATTTGTTCGTTCTTCAGAGCATAGCTGTGCTACATTAAGCTAACGATAAGACATGGTTTCAAGCACAGACAAAAAAGTGTCTAGCCATGGATGTGAAGGCAACACGATTGCGGTATCTTCAGATACATTTTGATAGTACCTCCTTTAGAGACCCCCTAGCTCCTGTCACATGTATTGCCCCCCCCCCCCTAGTGGTCAATGAGTATAACTAGCATTAGCATTCTAAAGTGTTAACTAATGTGAAACCCACTGTGACCTAGCACCTTGTGCTCATAAGACAAGTCTATGGATAATAACGTCTAGAGATCACTGTTAACTTGTGTATTATATGTATAAAACCATAGCACTACTTTCATTGTTATTGTTGATTTTACTTTTATCTTTTTTTGTATTCTAGCGTGGCCATGTGATCAATAATTTTAGTTGGAAAAGCATACACAACCAGACCTTTTAAACAGGGTTTTCTTTTGGTAAAAAAAAAAAATACTCCTCTTTTAACTCCTTCTTTTAGTTCTTCTCCAGATGTATTGCTGTAATTCCGTCTCTCTGTATTGGAAATGTATCAAGGCCATTCTGAATCAGACCATCCCCTCGGGCTACTTTTCTTACTTTGTAAAAATGAACTAAAACTGTATGCTGTTTGCATGCTCGACAATCATTTTCTCAGGTTGGGAGGGCTACAGCTTTACCTTTGCCCATCTGTGACTGTGTGTGTGTGACTGTGTGTGTGTGACTGTGTGTGTGTGTGTGTGTGTGTGTGTGTGTGTGTGTGTGTGTGTGTGTGTGTGTGTGTGTGTGTGTGTGTGTGTGTGTGTGTGTGTGTGTTTGTGTTGGCGTGCATGTGTGTGTGAAAGGAGACTGAATGCTTCTCTTGCAGCTGTAGCATCTGCCTGTGAATCCTCTTCTTCTCTATTGAACCCTGGTTACAACTCGGTTGAAGACTGCTGAAGGCATTTGCTGAATCCATAGCCTTGTCCCATTATTAAGAAATGTCAAGGCCAAATATTAAACCCTAAGTTTAGTTTGGACGGCATTATTGGAATGCTCCTAATTACTTGTTTATCATTTTATATCTCAGTAGATGAAAGAAAACGTTTTCTTAAGCTCAGTCCTTTTCTGTGGATTCAGCAGGTGTGTTTATGCGGCGCATGTTTCTTAAAATCTTTTTTTATTAGAATATGAGATAAGTCTTCCCTTAGATGTCTCCTGAAAAAAAACTAACATTTAAAAACAAGTATTTCTTGATGTCATAATGAACAAACGCTGTTTATCAAAGTATTTATTGCAAGGTGTCAGATAGAGATGGGAGAGCAATCAATAACTGAACAGTCATATTTTAAATGTATCATATTTACTCAAAGTTATTTGATAGATACGTTTAGTGACTGCCAGGTCGGGCTCTCCCATCTCTAGTGTTATTTGTTCCAAATTAGAACATTTTGAGGCTGTCCGCCATGCTCCTCTCAAGCAACGGGGTCTAAAATAAATCAAAGTATGGTTTTTTAAAAGTGTCCTTTTTTCTAGGAGCTGATTTAAAGCCATGATGCAATTTTGAATACTTTATTAATGGCATTTGACTTGAAATGTGCCACATTTTGTCCTGCATGGTATTTTGATTTGGAACCCAACTGTATTTTTTTAAACATCTATAGTGTTTCTTTTTTCTGCCTATATGCTAAAACCAGAGTACAGAATCCTAGAATCTACAGAGTAAATGTTGATTCCTGTAGTAACTAGCATGGCTGTAACTTCTTTTCATGAATTTCACTGATGAGATGAATATTTGGCAGGTGAAAGGAAGACATGAAATAGGCCACTTTTAATTTTTTTTGGGAGAAAATAAACGAAGTTGGTTAAAGAAACTGAAGTGCTGTCTTTCTTTGATGAAGCGTGTGTTGTTAGACTGCCCTCTGCTGGTTCAGTACTGTAAGTGAAACTGCTGCACCATACGTTACTCGCCTTTTCTGAAATGTTCGACAAACTTGACATGTTTACTCTTGAACTTTTTGACATGTCAATTGTTCTGATAATTTCGACATACTATATAATATGCCTCGTTTTTTATATAGCCTACAATGTCGTTTTTTAAAATCATATTTTGTTTACCATGCTACAGTATGTCGTTATTTGGCATATTTTCGACATACTATACCATGTCTTTTTTTCTGATCTTTTCGACGTATGCTAGGTGTTTTTTTTCTCATATGCATTACATACCATACTTTGTCGTGTTTTCTCATATTTCGACATACTATACTATGTTTTTTCAGATATTTTCAGTAAAAGTTGAGTTAGCTAATACTTAAAACTAGCTAAAATGTAGCTTAAAGTAATAGATATTTGGCTGCATATTCGTTTTATGAAAAATATTCTAAACTATCTACTCTACAATTAGCTTTCATATCTTCAGCTACTTTCAGTTTATAGACTACATATAACAGTGGTGCAGATTAAGGGTATTTGAGCTCAACTGACAATGTAGCAAACTACAATACATGCAGTACATAATAAATCCAGTTACAATTGAATGATCCATACCTTTTGAACTAATACAGATTGAAAACACACTACTCAGGTCTAAGTAGGAAAGCAGGTCTTTATTTTCGTTTGTGTCTAACAAAACAAAGCTGCGTGCAGGATACAGAAAAGAGAAGCCTGACTAAGGCACATATGGATTGCAACTCTAAAAGAAAATGTATATGTACAAATATAACTTTAACTGTCCAGTGTTAGACATGATTAGTTAGATGACTGTTTCAGATTCATAAAAAAATAGACAGGAAATTAGTTGCAGTGGCATAAATTGACATGAAAGTGTTTTCACAGAAATGTAGTATAACAATAGAGCGTTTGAATATTGATGAACGTGTCAGTGTAAGTCCTCTTTTTATTTACCTACTGCATGTACAGCCTTCTCAAGTTTTTTCTCAGCAAAACAGTAGGAATGTTGAGTTAAAAAAAAAAAGCGATTGCTGCAAAATAGACACTTTTATGACTGGAAATTTGGAAAACCAAAATCAGGGTGATACAATATAGATGCAAATATAAGACCTTTGATCTACTCAAAAAGTAAAAACTGTACATTTCATCACTCCACCATTAATGAATGAGCATGTCTGACAAAACTAAACTCAGGGTGCTAATATTTCTTGGTAATATTCCAGTACAATAACATGTGTGAACAGTTTTCGTTACAAGCTCCTGGAACTAGGCCTCACTTTTCCTTTCGAGTGTATTTGTTGTTAAGCCTTCATTAAGAACAACAAAAGTCGTACAGAAAGCGGTCAGGCTCTCCCTCTCTGTGTCCCTGCTGCGTAACACATGTTCCCGTTGTTAAAATCTCCAGCTGTGGCTCTGCACAGATTCAGTTCATGGACCGTTGTTTCACTCTCATCTCATCCACCCACCGTGATGAGGGGGCATGGGCACCTGAGACTGTCCTGGGGGTGGAGGGTAGCCACCAGGAGGGAGACCTATAACCTGAGGGGGAACGTGGCCTGGAGGCATGCGTGGAGGCGGGTAGCTGTTGTAGCCTGGCGGCGGGTAAGCCGGCGCCAAGTTGGGCGGCGGATAGTTGGAGGGAGGAAGGCCTGGAGGTGGTGCGGCAGGATAGACGTGATACGGCGGTATGGGGGGAGCATAGTTGGGAGGCATCTGGGGGTAGGAGGGGCCTTCCGTCTTCATCATGGACTGCAGGCTCTGGTAGCCTTCTCCGGACATGTAGGAGCTGGTGGTGGACATGATGTAGTTGGAGGGCGGAGGTGGAGGAGGGCGGTGGGGTAGTGGAGGGGGCTTGTGCGGAGGTGGAGCGTGCGGGAGAGGAGGAGCGACTTCGTTTATTGGTTCTGCTTCCGTGGGAGGGGCTGGAAGCGGGGCTTTGCGATCTAAGTGAGTGGACAAGGAGAAAACAACTTAAAAGTTTGGCATCTTTTCCGTAAAAAAAACACTGCTACTCATTCCAAAATGTTCCAAAATAACCTTTCCTTTCCCAGACTGCCAGACAGGAGGTCTCATTACTGGGCTCAAGCACTAATCAGATTGGTCTGGGATTGGGCTGAGGAGTATGCGTGTGTTGGGAAACAGAGTGGCTGGTTATGTAAGCAGACTGAGAGGACTCAAATCTTTAAAAAGGGGTTGCTTTCGAAGCTGGGGGCCCAGGCAGGGGGTCCCGGCTGCTCATTAAGGCTCTATGATGGGACACGCAAACAGACAGCGGGGTGTTGGGAAGAGGCCAGCGCGTACACTATGGTGCTGAGCCTATATTTGCAGACTTCTGTGCTTACATTGGCTATTTTGAGGGCATAAGTGCGCCTAAAATGCAAGGTATAGCAAAATGCAGAAAACTGAGGGTGGAACGCTGGACAACCTTATATGATTTCAGACAGCGCTGTGTTCGAAGGGAAGTATCCCAAATGAGACACAGGATAACCAACCCAAAACACTCCAAATTCCTCCCAAACTAGACCTACAATAGGAAGATAAGCAGTACTTTACCTGGAGGAGGCTGCGATGTAGGCAGAGGGGGCATGGGGCTCTCCAGTCGAGGAATCTTTGATCCAACTTGTTCTGTGAATTAAAAGATACCCGTTAAAAATATGTTAAATTTTTGTGATTTCATAGGAAACAGGCTTCACTATTAATAAATCCTTAAAAAAAATACTAATCCTGGCATCTGGAATCAACAGGATGTATCTGTTATGTTGCCATTTGTTTATCTTAATTGAAGTCAGGTGAATTAGCAAACCTAGATTGAAGGATTTTAGTGGATAAACACATGAGAAGGATTCAGCCTGGCTGAGGTTTAACAAGTCTTACCGGGAGGCTTTGGTTCATCTTTTGGAGAGGTCTGAAAAAACAAAAACATTAAAAACATGAATGCAAATACTCAGTAACCACTTGGGAATGTACCATTTGTTTTTTAACATTAAGCTATTAGATATTTTATGATGCCAGCAAGCACATTCTTTTTAACTGTATGCAGTGATTCTTCAAAAGACATTCAGTGATAAAATTAGTATTTTTTCATAACCCGAAACCCTCTTTAAAATGGTCACACATGCTCATGCACAAAGCACACGCAGTGACATGTGTTCTCTGCTTTTTACCCATCCTAGTACCAGGAGCAGTGGGCAGCTATTCTACAGCGCCCGGGGAGCAATGGGGAGTGGTGGGGGGGAGTATCTAAAGTCTGTACGGGGGACTTGAACCAGCAACCCTAGGGCTCCCGTTGAATTAATAAAAAACTGTCTTTCAAAATGGCAATTATTATTTTTCTACGTCTTGATGGAGTGCCAAGTGAATGTCAATAAATGATATGATAATTTATTTTGGAATGACTTGAAGTATTTAACTATAAAATTGTAAGAGATGTAAGAGAATTGCAGCATTGTAATATCCTTACTATTAGGTACAGCCCTAGGTTACATTTTGAGGTAGGTTTTGTTGAATGTAAATGTTTGAATAAAGTTTAACAAGAGCAAATAAACATATACAAAAATCTAAATCAGGGGACTTTCCATTGGCCTTTGTCTTGAGAAATGCAATTGGAGCGTATACTCACATGTGAGCGTTTAAGCTGGCGTGCGGGGCTGCCTCCCGGAGGAGAAGTCTTCTTTGGTGGTGGGGGGGGAGGGACGGGGGCTGGTGGCAGTCCCTGTGGGATTGGGGGGATCTGGGGAGCGGCTGCCCTCTCCTTCTCCTGGATCGGCTGAGGGATGGGCTTGTTTCCCTGGGAGTACAGATCCAGGATCTGGTGGCAAATGTCTGGGAAGACAAGGACGTTTTTTGGTTGAGACAATTCTGCAAAAGGATGAAGCTGAATATCGCAGGAGATGCAGGAAGTGTCATGATGAATACCTTCAAGCAGCTCCACAGGGACGTCCTGCACAAACATTTCCCACCATCGCCGTGACGACTGCTTGGCGGTCCACTCCTGGATGTCGAACTTACAGAGGCGGCCCGCCAGGTACATGACAGCCACCGCGATGATCTCTGGTTCCCACTGCAGGGACAGCATGGTGCACAGGCTGCCAGGGACACAAGGGATACTGTTCAGTCTTCTCTCCTCACAATAAAAGACATCACCCTGTTTTCTCATTCTATATTCATTGTGTCTTTAAAACAGATAACAGGGCCTTAAATGACCAATCGTTTAAAAAAGGTCAGATAGGCCGACCCTTGATACTGCTGCTGTATGGTAATTTATAGTAAGTGTAAGACGAGAATCTTCCAGTTATATCAAACTGTATCTAAAGAATAAATAGTAACCCAAATCGAACATGAAATGCAAGTTGCAAAGCTGGTCAGTCTAACAGAGCAGTGATGTCAAGACATTTCTCTAGGAAGAAGACACTATTGGCGCGTTTCCACTACAGCGCGGAGCCCCGTTTAAGACAGCTGTGACGTCAGCGGCCCGTCTTTGGTTGCGTTTCCACTTGGCCTAGTACCGGCTAGCGGGTCCTAATTCACAGTTTTTCTGGCCCCATAAAATCGTGGTTCTAGGACCAGGAACAAACAGGCTGAGTCGGGCTGAGTATGCTAAACTAGAGAGAGAATCGCTGGCAAGGGGGCTACAACTACAACAAGATGGACATATTTGACCGTGATTTAATTGTAATACACGTTTCAAAATGATGCCGAAGTAACAACATACTGATACCGGTTAGTAAAAACCATGAATGAATGCTTTGACAAGTCTGCAGACAGACGGCAGGCGAAAAACCTTTTAAAATGCGTGTTTTCTAAATGGAGATCGGCTAAGCTAACGCAGTATATGCTCCGACCGTCCACACTCACATTAACGGCCTATACAGACATAAATAAAGCAGCGACTGTATTCACCATGACACAGACAGTCTGTGGTTTGTACTTGTTTAACTTTTGTCTAGTTTCTGAACAGATATGAGGAGCTGTGAGCTTGAGTGCTAACAGCTAACGGCTGTGTTGTTTTTCTGGGGTTCTCATTGAAGATGACGTCACGGCTCCGCCTACACTGCGTTACTATAGATACTACCCCAGTTCCTAAACTGTAATGGAAATGCGCCATAAAGTGAGCCAGTCCTAACGAGGCCTAGCCATACCGAGCGAGGCCGTGTAGTGGAAATGCGCCATAAGTGGACACAGGGCCTAATACAAAGAGAGGTTCCATGCCAACGGCTCACCTGTCGTTGACAAAGGTCCATGCCATTTGAAGCACCTTGCACACCTTATTTTTGTCACCTTTAACAAGAAGAAAGATAAATATCAGTTTTCCAAATTTCTAAATATAATAATGTATTACTCTCCGTGGATCATTCTTTTTCTATGTCACCTTTGAGTTGCTTGACGTAGCGCAGCAGGAACATGTAAGGGTGCTCCACCTGCAGGTCAAATTTGATCGTCTGGAGCAGAATTCTCTCCAGCACCATCACCTCTTCCTGTTGAAACAAACACAAAATACTTTAAATATCCTGAATGGCAAAAACACAACAGGCTCAAGCAGGGGGGGCTAATGGCTAACTCACTCAATAGCCTTTCACCTAGACTCATGTTTTTCCAACTCTGACCCACGGGCATGACTGTAGTTTTTTTAGGACAATGTAGTCTACTCCTTTTTTTCAAATCAAATTTGACTTAAGTGTATTAAAACGAAAGCATACTACCAGCTGTTGGCTGCCCTTGAGTGCACATGCATGGACATACATTAAAAAAATATACAAGAAATACTGCAAATATTCGTACTGTAGAACATAATGAAAAATACATTTAGAGAAAAAATGTGTCATTCCAATATGGAAGGTACAATAGGTCCTAATCAAATGAAATCTTATATAAATTCCAAGTTTGTATTGTTTTAACTATGCTTCTATGATTGAGGAATTATTGGGTTGAGAAGGTTCAAAAGGTTCTTTACTTAACATTTAATATTAGTGTAACCTTCTTTAGCTTTCCAAGATGGAGACCTGCCTACATTACAGTGTATCCCTTTGCACTCATTACATTAAAAAGGTCCCATGTAAGCAGTCAGTCAACAGGCAAGTTATATTAAACAACACCTTCGGGTCGTCTCCAAACTGAGCAAACTGCACATCGTTCAGCAAGCTGCGGGCAGTTTTAATGATGTCTTTACACTTCTTGGGGGTTTCCTCCACTTTCCCCGCCAGGAAAAGGCAGCATGCACCGGTGACCTGTTGGGACACAAATCACAACATGAATCCACCGTACTTGGTCCATTTTTAAAGAGGAAAATCTAACAAATACAATTTTTTGAACTTGCATATCTAGGGAACTGCTTGAAGGAGTGAAACATGTAGAAGCGGTGGAAATATATGATGCCAGTTGCCAGTGTGTCATAATGTCTGAAGATGAAAGTCAAGGATATCACGAAAACCACTCATAGTTATTTGTAAGTTAAAATCTTCCACAGCTATGTAAAATCAATTCAGACAAATTATAGATCACTTTGAAAGTGACATTATGATCATTAGATATCATAACCCATTGTTTTGATTACAAAATGTTAATGCAAATCAAGTTGAAGTGGAGAGGAAAAGCAGAAATCACCACATCTTAACAGGATAGTGTCTTTAGTTCTATCATTTCTTCAAGGTTTTTCCACATTCAAATAAATCAAATCAAGGATACAGGCCAAGTCTGGTCCCCACGTCAAAAATGAAGCGGGCTCCTTCCCTCCGATACCGGGCCTCTGTCCCCGGGTCCAGGCCTTCAGACTGGGAGGGGGTGTGGACTAAATCCTTCTTGTCCCAGTACCAGCATGGCTTGATGTGGTCCAGAATTATTTGGCCTGAAAAGTTCTCCTTGAATTCCTTCATGAGCTGAGGAGAGGCAACGGAGGATGGACCCGCTGCACCTGACTGAATGCATAAAACACTGCAGTTATAAAACACCATTTACAGGAAATAGCTCAATCATACTAGCAATGCTGGTGTATTTGGTAAACTGTCAGACAGACTAAAGTAATAACGATAACAATAAACACTACCACTGAAATAGCATGATCATTTCTGTATCTCTATTATATTTTTTTGGCCTTGTACTTCTATCTGAAATACATAGATACGAGTGTTGTGTTAAGAACAAACTGTAAACACCGTGAAACTTAATACAAGCTGAGATTTTAAGATGTATACTCAGTGGTGAAGACCCACATGTTATACTTAAGTAAAAGTATTAATACCAGAGTAGAAATACTCTATTAGAGGTAAAAGTATTAGCATCCACTATTGTAGCAAAAGTAAAATAACTTATGCAGAATTACATTAATAATGTAAAAATGTATGTAATATTGCCCCTATTGTAAAGGTGCATCTAACTTTAAAGAGTTTTATTCTGCCAGTTTTCTTCAATCATTATTGTACAACATAATCTATTGTTAGTTGTTTCATTTTTATTTTTTATTTAAAAGGGGACCTATTATGCAAAATCCACTTTTTCATGTATTTTCTACATCAACATGTGTCCCCTCTGTGAAAGGGATTCTGAAAGTTTCAGGAAAAAAGATTCGCTCACTTTTTGTCCTGATCCATTTATATAAAAACCTGTCTGAAAATTAGCTGATCAGATTTTGGCCACTTTATGATGTCATAACGATTTTTTGGCTTGTGTAACCATTAGCCAATAACCAACCAAGGTAACCCCCCAACCACCTTATCACCTGAATCTCCTCCTAGAGCACCGGTTATTTTTAACCAAATATATGACAGAGAATCAGCACTTTTGAAACAGGGCTGAAACAGAGGGGATTATGGGATGCTGCAATGATCTGTTTGGTATTTGGACCAAACACTTCAGAGACATGTTTTGTATATATCTGAGACCTGTAATATATTGATGAAAAACTGTATAATAGGGGACCTTTAAATGGATTTCTTTTTATGTTTTTGTTTATTTATTTGTTAATGTAATTGTTTATTAATCATATGAACATGCAAAGTAACTAGTAACTTAATATGTCAGATAAATGTAGTGGAGTATAAGTATAGAATACAATAGTAAAGTACAAGTACCTTAAAGTTGTACGTACAGTACTTGAGTAAATGTACTTAGTTACTTTCCACCACTGGGTATACTTTAACTAATTGTAAATAGCTTAAAACATTTCTGCATAGTCAGTCAAAACTACGCAAATAAGGAATGGGTTACATTTGCTGACCTGTATTTTCCTCATGTCCAGTTTCTGTAGATGCTAATTAAATAGCTGCTTACAGTTTAACAATCCTAAAGTTGGAAAAGCAAAAGAACACGTTTAACATTATGGTTGGCATTGCTCCTCTCATTAATTAATTATGTGACATGATTAACACACTCATATGGGTTCAAAATAACGAAGAATAACCTGAATTAGCATAACAAAAATGCTAACAGCTCACTAGCATTTAATCATGTTAACCAAGCTATGGCTAATGGGAACTAAAAGTTGGCTGCGTGGAGCTACCATCACCAAATAACCAATAATGTGTTGTTATCGGTATATTATGTATGGGCTAAACTCTAGGCCAGTAACGTCAGCTAAAGACACGGACAAGGTTAATTATTAAATTGTAAAATAAAGACAGTTGAGAATTAGCATTATGCCAGACAGGTGATACTCTTCGCTAGCATCATCGGCTAGCAAACTTGTTTTACTCGCGGTCTTAACACCGCCGAGGCGAGGAGGACTGTGCTCCATCGAAACTAGCCAGAACGTTTCTTACCTTTAACATGTAGCCTTTGGAATAAATCACCCAAATCAGATAACTGTGTGAATAAATAGTAGTTATTCAAAAGAGTATGGCTAACAAGTGATCCACAACAGCCCCCATTGTAACAAGGGCACCGCCATTATGGAGGACGTCAGAGATACAATGTTGGATGACGTCATGACGCAGGATATCTGACACACGTGTATTGTGGCTGTATTTTGGATTTTACTTTTCTTTCCTGAATCTTATGTTCAACGCTTTGTAAACAATTTTTTTCTGTTAGAAAAAAATAATACAACAATACATAGGCTACTCGGAAGTATACAAGTTTTCTTGTTAACATGATGAAAATATGTTACCCCCAAACTATCCACTAGAGGGAGACAATTGATCACTTTTGGACTTGGGCAGCCAGGACTATAAATTTTTCACATGCAAATAATGATTTGAAAAGCTGACTTAATTGAACAATTATTACAATGTCTTAAAATGCCTGACAAGTACTCAAATCACAAACTCAAACAACATGGATTCAATATGTTTGAAAAGTTAAAGGTAATATATTGGATGTGCACCTTTTTTTTTTAAAGACTATCTGGGTATACATTCATAAATGTGCCACTAAATATTGTTTTAAAAATTGAAAATGCTATAATAATTGTTATAACACCCATATGTACTGTAGTACTGACAAACGGATGGTAAAAGGATGGTAAAATAAGTAACAGGTAGTGGGATTAAAGAAGAATATTTTACAAAAGGAGCAGCACTAAAAATATATCAACATCAAACATAAAATGCCTATTTGTTTTATATAAGGAAAGTATATTACTGCACTATAATTATTTATTTCATTATGTACTATGCCTTTCAATCTTATGTTATGTTATTATGTTAGGCTTTGTAAGGTAGGCTATCTGTTAAAAGTTTCTGGGGCAGCAGTTTGCTATGCTCTTTAAATACATAATTAGTAGCCCCCTTTTTTACAACTTTTTTAAAAATCTTCATGAATGAAATAAATCTGACTTTTTAATCATTTCCGAAGTCCATGGTGCCATGTGCTGGAGTAAATGAGACTTAAGACATACCATAAATGTTTTTTGTATAATATCTTAAAAACACATTTTCATTTTTGTCATTCTAGAAATCTAGAGTTTGACTGAGAGTTTAAAGTTAAAGAAACACAAGAAATATTCCTTAATTACATATGATATGTTACAGCTAATTGTGACGATGAATTAAACTCTTTGTTGAATAAAAGAGCAATAATTACATCCCTTTATCAATATGTCAAGCTAAAACTATTGTAATCCTTTAAATATGGGATATGGCTATAAAATGCATACAACCAATGGTGAGTCATATTCTACAGAGAAACTCGCAGTGCAGTGCAATGATTTTGTAAAAAAAATGATTTAATGATTGCAATTAATGATGTTTTTCACACACTTCACTCTTTTAGACCTGGTACAAGATCTCATGTAACCATCACGGCCTTTGTTTTTTTTCAAATGTTCCAGCGAAAGAGTACAAGTAACATCTTGTGCCCTCTCCATTCCCCTCCCAGTCTCTCTTCTGAGGACAGCCAGCATTGAATCATTTACTCGGTCCAAATTAAAATTTGGAATCTACATGCATTATATATTCAACCGTGCTCGGACAAATCCTCTTAACTGTGGGAGAAATTGTCAGCATGTGTCCTGTAGAAAAGTAAGAGCCTTGTCTGGTTGTATTGCCCGTAGCAAGGGAGCATCTCAATCTGTCACTCAAGGTCCACACACACGCACACCAACCACAGTAAATCAGCCTATGAATAATATATAATTGTACTTTCTTTATTAATATTAAACATTGCATAATGAAGCACCGACTATAAGCAAATCCCAGAGCAATATTCATATTACCATGAGCTGTCCTGGAGTGGACCTTTCATTGTTTATGTGGTGAAACACATCAAAAAGGGCTGCCACTTAACCTCAACATTTAATCCTCTCTTTGTTCTTAAAACTGCATTATGCTGAGTGTAGTTCTTTCCCCTTTCATATATGTTGTCCTATTTTAAGACATTAATGCAATTTAAGTATTCTTTAGAGAGTAAACAGATGGGAGAGGCATGAAAAATGGAAGATAAAAGGATGTGACGAAGGTTGTGACCCAGAAGTTGCATTCACTGTCCACTGATGTGCAAGAGCTCCCCGTCAACTTTGTCCCTGGGCGCATTTTTAACATAAATTATAAGTGGAATCTTAAAACCCGGGTCATTTTGGGGAAAAATACCTAAAACGCTGACACAATGTCCCTTGTTCCTTTGGACAAAACTTCCATCTCAGCCTGGTCTCTCGTGTATGTATTGCCCTGAGGTGTGTTCAGGTATCTCCCAGCACTGGCACTTTACCACACACGAGATGCATGTCTCCTTAGAGGCAACACTTTGGACTTAAAACCTTTCCTGTGTCCACAAGTCGGTGTATTTGTGGTTTACTGGTCATGTGCAACCCAGTTGAAACTGCCTTTGCCCGCAGCCGGCAGATACAAGCTATAATGGATACATTGATGTATTATTGAGAAACCCATGGGGTGAGGATCAAGGAGCTGCTTGAAGCCAGTAGGGATAGCAAAGAGAGTGCGTGAACTCAGGGAAAATGTTTTCTTTCAGCATCCCGATGTGTCCACGGCTCACTGTTGCTCTCTTGGCCCCCAATGCCAAAAACTGAGACATTTCATGTAACATCACATGCGGAATTTATGGGCTCCATTCAAAGCAATATGCTCGACAACATGCTCGGGCCTCTCTGTGAAAGATAGCTGTTTGTGCAGTAGTGTTTCCATGTGGAGTCTGCTGAGGTTATGTCGACTTGAGCCAGAGCTGAGATGACATTTCATTTATATAAATAATTACTGTCCTGAAAGTCCCCTAGGCCTGCCCTGAAGCAATCAAACTTCTAATGCTCTTAAAATTGCCCACCATGTTTTATTAATGGCCGACTATAAAATGCATCGCTATAGCAGCACACTTTCCCCGGCTGATCCACGAGGAAAGAGTGTCAACTTTAAATGGCCGTATTAGGCTTCCATATTTTTATTCAACAATGTATTTCAAGTAAATTATACCACGGAGAAGGTTTGAATTATACGGTAAGGTGGGGAGAAAAAAAGAAACTTGACTGTGTTCTTATAGTCTGTACAAAGCACTTATCTGTGCATACACTGATCTAAATGAATACAGTGAATTATGTGCAGGATGATTGCCCATTAGTGCCATTAATTGCCTCGGAGTGAACCTGATCTGCTCTTCAAGGACTCTCTTATTCTGAATTGTATAAATGGTGAATTAAGGGGGGCGCCATTCTAAAAATAAGAATAAAGTAGAGTAAGGCAGTGTTAAGGTTTCACCCTCACCCCCACCCCCACCCCAACCCCTCCTACATAGGTTTAAATGAGTCCTGACTGTGCCAACAGAGGGTACTGTTGCCTCATAACATGTTTAAATTATCTTCACAACAAAGATGCATTCCTTCTCTGATTCAATGTTAGACAATCAGTGTTTTATATTATATTCATCAGCATTTAGAAGCGTATTAGATAAAGTAGAATACTACAATAAGATAAATTTTTTTAATATCTCAATTAAAGGTGACCTTTAACCCAATATCTTTTAATCTGATAGGTGTGGGTGAACTTGATATTCCAGCGATTTAAAAACAGTTTGCTTCTGGTATGCATGATATGAATGGATAATTTGTTCAAACAATTAGGTTTCTGAATTCTGATTAAAAAACACAAGAAAGAAAATGGAAACATGAAAGGATTTGATGCTCTTTTGGGGGTAAATTATATTAAAGGTCATAAAGAGAAGGTAATATAAGTGATTTGGTGGTCACTTCATTGATTCTAAAGGCAGACATTGTGACACTGCCTTTGAAATAAGTAATAATGACTTTGTTTGGAGCTCATCAGCTCGAAGGAGCCACGGCTAGCTGCCCCAACCAGACAGTGTCCGCGCGTTTTGCTCTCCACTGTTTACATGCAAACGTCACGGACGCACTTGGACTTGTATCCCATCCCACCCCAGTGAAGGCAACCTCAGCCACACACACCCACCCTCACACACACACAAACAAAAGCACAGGGCTTGCATATAGTCTGCGCACACACGGATCCTCCCAAACACAGCCGCCGCTTTCATCGTGTGAGTCAACGCGAAGTAGCCTCACACTGTAAGGAAACTGGGAAACATTGGACCTCTTGCTTGTCGGACGACGACGAGGAGGAGGAGGAGGAGGAGGTGTCTTGTCTGCCCGCGTGCACTCTCTCTTTGCTTCACACTCTCTCTCTCAATCAACGAGGCTCCTGCCAGCAGAGCCAAGAGTTGCCGTTCCGCGCGCCGATGCCAAAACGCACAGGAGGAGTCAGTGCCAAAGGGTCATTTTAGCGCACCACTGCTGAAATGGAAGGACTGTAGGGAATCCTAGAATAAACAGCAGCCATTTGACCCCAGATGATATAATCATATCATTAAAAACTCAAGAAAAAAGCGGAGAAGGGGGAAAGGAGCCAAATAAGAACCCATCACCCAGTGGAGTGCTTCGTACTTCATCTGTCACCACGCTCGCTGCAGAAGTGTCCAGGATTTGTATCTGCAAAAGGTCATTGCAAAAACATACCTGAAACACATTGGCCGCTATAGTAGCCAACTGCTTCCATTACAAACTTCTACTTCTTTGGCTTCCTTAAATCCAGGTGTTGCTTCCTCCCGAAGACGCTGCAGGACATTTTTTTTCTTTTTGGACAAACTCGTCTTCCATCCTTATTGCGCTCCTGTCCTCGCCTCCTCGAGCGCACGTTAAAGTTGCAGCAGAAGAAGAAGAAGAAGAGTGGAGGGATTAGGAGAGGGGGAAAGTTGTTCACCTGCAAGCCAGAGGGAACCGACACCACGGTCCAAGCCGAATCCAAGTGCCGTTCACCGGGCGATGCCAGAGTAAATGCCGGGGCAATGTCCCGCCGCAAGCAGGTGAACCCGCAGCACTTATCGTTGACGCACAGGGAGACAGTACGAGGTGAGTTCAATTCCTGCAAGACATCTCACTTCATACATGATTAAGTGTACAATGTATTGTTTATTACTAGTATTAATTCAGATTTCGAGGTCTAAATGAAAGTTTTTATTTT